TGCTTTAACAGAAACAACACAAGTGGGTGGTTTAAAAAAGTCTTTATTTTTCTTACTATTTAGGAAGCTATTGCTCACTATTTAGAAGTCTGGAAGTAAGCTCCACCTCCAGGGAAACACTTTGTCTGTGTGAATGTTGAATTAAAACCTTTGTCTCAGCTTCTGTAGTCTGAATAGTCCTCACTTCAAGAGATCTGTTATGTTCATTTTATGAGTGTTTGTTCTTTTGTATTTGATACTCCCTACACTCAGAAGTGATTGACTCAGCAATTTCCTACATTGATTGGGTCTCATTAGCATAACAAAGAAAACTCCATTTCAAAATAGGATTACATCCACAAGTATAAAAATTATAATTCCAGTAGATATCTTCAGACCTGCATAAACACTACAAAGTGTCTTCAGAACACTGCATGGTTTAAAATCAGAAAGGATGTAAACCAGGGATGAGTACCACCTCCACACCTTTTCAATCTATATGCAGAACAGATCATGCAGGAGGCTGGGCTCTATGAGGAGGAATATGGCATCAGGATTGGAGGAAGACTCATCCACAACCTGCATTATGCAGATGATACAACCCTGCTTCGTGAAACTGAGGAGAACCTGAAGCACTTAATGCAGAAGGTCAAGGACAGTAGCCTTCAATCTGGATTAACGCTCAACATTGCAGAGTGGAGTATACTTGGGGTGGAAGTGTGGATGTGCCGTGTGGGGGCGGGATTGTGTACCAATGAAGGAGTTTTTCTTTTGCTTTTCAAGGAGAGGAGCAAACTGGGGGTGGGGGTAGGGGTGAGTGGGTGGGGAGAAAAGTGCAACAATGAATGAAAGGAATTCCAAAATCTCTGTAGATGTTCATTGAAATTAATAATAATGATAAAAGGGGGGGGGAAAGAAAGCAAAGATTCTCACCACTGAGCTGACTGGCAGCGTTATGATAGATAGAAGAGAGATTGAGATTGTTAACAGCTTTAGTTTGCTTGGCTCCGCAATCAACACTCTTGGTAGCAGCGGTCAGGAAATAAAAAGATTAATTTCATTGGTAAAGTTTGCTCTCAGGGACCTCTCCAGAGTACTGAAGAACAACGATGTCGGTCTAGAGACTAAAGTGCATATGATACAAGCCATAGTCTTTGCAATTACTTGCTATGCATCACAGAGCTGGTCAGTGACTAGGGATGATAGAAGGATAATTGATGCCTTTGAGCTGTGGTGTTGGAGAAGAGTATTGCATATACCATGGACTTCTAAGAAAACAAACAGCTTTGTCCTGGGAGGGTGAAGTCGGGCTGCTCCTTGGGGGCAAGGATTCTGAAGCTTCATCTGACATACTTTGGACATGTTGCAAGAAGGGACAAGTCCTTGGAGAAGAACGTCATGCTTGGGAGGGTGGAGGGACAGTGCAGGAGAGGAAGACTCTCTATGAGATGGATTGATTCAGTGACTGGGATAATGGGGTTAGATGTGTTGGAGATGGTGAGATTGGCACAGGATAGGGCAGAGTTTAGGGCTGTTATACATTGAGCCACAGGTGACTCAATGGCACATAACAACAACTAATACACACACACACACACACACACACACACACACCTGGAGAGTAAGGTGTGCCTGATACAGGCCATGGTCTTTACAATAATTTGCTATGCATCAGAGAGCTGGACAAAGACTAGGGATGATAGAAGGAGAATTTATTCCTTTGAGCTGTGGTGATAGAGATTATTGAATATACCATGTACAGCTAAGAAAATGAACCTGGAGAGGGTTAGTCCTGGAGAAGGTTAAACCAGTCTGCTCCCTGGAGGCAAGGATTCTGAGGCTTGGAGATGAACCTCATGTTGGAAAAGCAGAGAGTTGAAAAAGAAAGACAGATCTTTAACCAGATGGATTGACACAGTGCCTTCAGCAATGAAGCAATGGGCTCAAATGTGTCAGAGATTGTGAGGATGGTACAGGATAGGGTACATAGTTGACCATCCCACAAGTTTTAGTAGGAGGGTATTTCCCATCTTTCTCCCAAGGAGCAGCTAGTGGGTTCAAAACACCTGTCTACGTGTTGGCAGTGCAACTCTTTGCCCATTGTTATTATTGTGTGCCATTCAAACCAACCTATAGTTTACCTTCTAACAGGTTTTCAGTGCCAGTAAATCTCAAGGGAAGAGATTCTTCGCCCACAGAGCAGCTGTGGGATTTCAGCACAGCTTCGTACCACTAGGCCACCAGAGCTCCCTCTTTACCCAATGTTGCTATTGTTGTTAAGTGCTATTGCATTGAATATGATTCATAGTGACCCTATTAAAAACAGAACTGAATCTCAAGCTTTGCCATCTTTGTTTACAAAGAACATTCACTCTGGCTACACACTTTGCAAGACACAGTCTGTTTGGGTTTTTGGCAGTCCATGGGATATTCAGTACTCTTATGTAGCACCACTTCTCAAAGGCACCAATTCTACTGTCATCCTTATTCATTGTTCAGGGACAATGGGTAGCATATCATTGAGAATGATGTCCTGAATCAGCTGCACCTGAGTCTTCAAATTGACATCATCGCTCTTCGTCATTTTGGAGAAATCTCTGACCACAGACTAACCAATTCAATTAGTCTCCTGATTTCCTAACTGCTGGGATGGAGAGTTTTGATTGTTGATCCAAGGAAGATGAAATCATCAACAGCTTCAATTCTTTCTCCCATCTGTCATAATGTTGACTATTGGTCCCATGAAGAGAACCTTTTTTTTCTTGATGTTGCATTGTAATACATACCAAAGACTGGAGTCCTTGATCTTCTGCAGCAAACATTTCTTATCCTCCTCACTTTTTTTTTAAATGTAAAGAAATTTAATTATTTTGAGATATTTTAGTAAATCAGTATTCAACCCATATTCATCTACACAATGGAATTCAAAGCATATTTCAGACATTCAGGCAAGGGGGAAAAATACGGATGGCAAGCAAAGTTATGTTATCTGTGTAATAATAGTTGTTGATGAGTCTTGCTTCAACTCGATGTGACATTCTTCTTCATAAAGTCAGACTTTGTGAATTATTTGCTCAGCATACAAACTGAATAGGTGTAGAGAAAGGATAAAACCTTGAAGTACAGCTGTTCTGATTTTAAGCCATGTAGTATTCCCTCGCTCCATTCAGACAATAGCCTTTTGGTCTAAGTAGAGGTTTCCATATTAGCACAATTAAGTGTTCTAGGATTCTCATTATTCTCAATGTTAGTCATAATTTTTTTATGTTCCATAGAATCAAATGCTTCTGCATAGTCAATAAAACATAAATATTCTACTCATATTTTTTGCTTACAACCAGGATCCATCTGGCATTAGCAATGATATCCCTGGGTCATGTTAGGCTATATAATATTGAGAGAGAGAGAGAGAGAGAGAGACAATACTTAGGTAGATAGATAGATACATGGGTAGATAGATATAGGTATTGACAACCAACAGTAACAGGGCTAGAAAAAATCCTGTAGTAAGGTACAACAGACCCAGGTGTCCTGTGATAGAATTGGTCGGAGAGACTATTCAATTAAGAGGAACCAGTTCTCAGGTTGCCTAAAAGAAGCTATTTCTCAAGGATCTGAGACTTCTCAAGAGATGGAAAGGAGGCTGAGAAGAGGCTCATATAAAAGAATGCAAAGACCTTTTTGCTTTAAATGCATAAAAGAGCAAAGTGAGCTATCCTGCAGCCAAGAGTGCATATGCTCTCTTATTTCAGGAAGCCTGCCAAACTTGCTTCCTAATTCTGATCCTACTTCATAGCCTGTTGATCCTGATCCCAGGTTTCACCTCATTACTTTTTTTAGTAAGCCACTTAACTGTTCATAGTATTGTGAGTTTTGTATGGTCATTGCAATGGATTGTCAAACATAGAAGAAAAATGGTGAGTGCTGTTAAGAGAGATAGTTGGTATAAGAACTTGTGGAAAAGTTGGAGAGTAGAGGTATCCCTGATCTCTACCATAGGGGAACTTGTGATTATAATCACATTCTCATTAGCCTCCCTGAAGTTAGATAGGCCGGTACTACTACTCCTATCAAATTTGGAAAGGTTTTTTAAAAAGTCACATGAAACTAGAACTCCACTAGAAAACTCAGAACATGTTCAACAACTTGCTTTTTATTTTGCCTGCTTTAGATAAACAAGATAATGAAAAAGGTGCTTATCTATCATATTGCTAGAAACAGAAACTGTCTTTTGCTAACACAAGCTAGAATATGTATTGTTTTAAAAGGATATAATATATTATGCTTGAGAAAATAAAATTGCAGGACAGAGTAATTTTTTTTAAATCCCTAATAGAAATGTATTTCTCAGACTCTTTTGGCACTGAGATGACAGAACTGATTTAAGTTTTATCAACTAGATGCAATTGCATGAGATTCAGAAGGCACAGCGTGCAAGGGTGAGATTACATTTATTAATTTGTATGTGTTATTATGCCTAGTCTTTATCCTGGCGAGCATTAATATATCCACTGCCTGCTCCTTAGCTTTGCGATTACAGGTATGTGAAACATCAGGCTACAAGTTCCTGATCAGTGATTGTATTGGACGTTCTTGAAAATGAACTCAACAACAACCTGCAACTGCCATCTCTCCATCTCTTGGAATAATTTTATGTGCACTTCTTCCCTATATTAAAATATTTTCTAATAGAAATACTTAGTTTCTATTTCCTATATCGAACCCAGAATGGTTCTAGTATCAATCCATAGAAACTTAAGCTGCTAGGTGAGTGGCCATACGTCTCTATAAGTTCAAATTCACCAATTCTTCCTCAGGAGAAAGATGAGTAAGTTCCTCCTGAGCAGTTTACAGCTTCCAAAAACTCGCTGGAAGATCAGGCATGAATCATTTCCAGCTCAACAGCAATGATTGACAGAGTGGTATAAACGATAATATTCATTGTACATTCTTGTGCAATATATTGGTGACCACCATTGTTGTATGTTTGGCATTAACCTTACCCTTTCCATTTCAAACAGATGGCAGAAGTTTGTTGAGTTGTTAAGCAAAGCTTCCTCTGATATATCATCTGACTTGCCCACAGGTGAGTTTGGCTATTTTGTTTCTCTTGTTATCTTTGCAAGAGACAGAAAAATTGTTAGTAAAGAAATCCTCCTCTAGAAACACCCTTTTGGGAGAACTCTTATTTCCGGGAGCTGTTTTTGGTTGTACAGTGTGCTGACTGGATTTCATATCATTCCTCCTTGATGTGTAAATGACTCAACAGTCAAGGAAAAGGGAGGAAAAATATCTTTGATGGCTATTTTTAAAAACATATTTTTTAATTATTAGTTGCAGTAGGGTTGATTTGATCTTATTTGGTCCCATGTGTTATAAAATTGAACTGCTCCATAAAATAAGCGTGGCTGCATTCTTAGCAAACAGATGACCAGACCTGTCTCCTACAGGACACCTAAATGGAATCTGTCTGTTTTTAGGTTGGCAGTTGAACCCAACCAAACATTGACACCACTTGGATCTCAGTTGGGTCATAAAAATACTTAATTGTCTAAATTTTAGCTGGTAAGACATTATCTGGTGGTGGTGGTGGTGGTGGTGGTGGTGTATACTATCAAGTTGGAAGCAACTCATATTTGATACTCCAGTCAGTTTTCAGAGGCAGTAAAATGCATTGGAGGAGACTGCACTTCTTTCTTTTGTGGAGGAGGTAATGGATTTGAACTACTTGCTTTTGGGTTGGCATTATAACTCCTTACCACTGAGCCATTAGAGCTGTAGGTATTGTCTAGTAATAGTGATGTAAGACTAATTTGTAGCATTTAAGATCTTTAAAGGTAAGATACTTACAAAAGTATTATTA